GCGAAACTTACCGAAAATTATTAAAGATGCATCTTCAGGAGCTCAAGAAACCGAAGAAAGAAAGACTAAAAGGAAAAATACACGAGTTCAAGACCATCGAGGTTTGAGGATTTTTTGTGTATTATGAAACACTTTTGAATTTTTTTTCGGGGTTGCAACGAGCAAACAGGAACGACAGGGGTTTTAATGACGAACTATGGTCAATAATAACTGTTTCAATGTAGTAGAATTCGGAAGTTTAAAAGAAGTTGGAAGACTCGAAAAAACGCTTGCTAAACTTGAGAATACTCGGCCAATTGTGTGCATCTCATGGAACAACAATGTTTTATGCCTCGTTAAATGACGAAACGCAACAAACGCACTCAGTGCGCAAATTACATCTAGGAAAACAAGCTTTTCTATCCGCAATTTACTCGGGGTGTCATTAAAATTATATTCCAGTTTAAATTTTTGCCTCAATACCACGGTTTTTGTTCAAAAGGAAAGTTTAAAAAGTAATTTGAGATGATAGGGAAATATTTTCGAGCTGTTTTCTTGCAGTTCTAAGTCAATTTTATATTTAAAAAATTGGCCATCTTTTCCCAGTCGGAACAATGTTATGCTGCACTAGAAAAACTTTTTAGTCTAACAGTTATTTACAAATTAAAAATGATACGCAAAGATTTGAACTATTAGTTCTTTGTTACTATTAAATCACTTGAAGAACCTCGAGGAACCTGTATGAAAGAAATGCGGCCTCGCCTCTTCAGAGTTGCTAAAAAGATGTGGAATGAATGGACTTAAGAGACGGACAGTCTCAACAGGTATTCCTGCAACAAAAATTTATCCCTTAATTTGCTGTTATACATTTCTCATAATTATCAAATGTAGTTAGGAAATATGAATAGACAAACATGCATTCACAAACATGTCCTTCAATAGCGAAATCCGCTATTGAAGTCATTCCTAGAAAACGCAATGCGAAAATTAGGGGCAAACCAGAAACTAAAATCTGGAATCTTTTGTGTTTTGGAATCCGGAATCTGCAACGGTAGAATCCGGAATCCAGCTCCTGGAATCCGGAATCCACAGCGTGGAATCCAGAATCTAATACTGTCCTGGATTACCTTACATGGGGCGACCCAGACGTTTCCTCCTCGTGGTTAGGTACATTAGTTCAATTAGGCTCATACTAGGATTCATTATAGTGCCCACTACGTTAAAGCAATCCGTAAAGTTATAGAAAAGAGAAATCCGTCGAAATTAAAACAAAATAGACCCAGAAGAGAGAACCTAAGAACACACAGAACACCAAAATGCTGCTTCTCAATATCTTTTTATAATTTTAACACATATCTCTATTAGCGATGAATCCAGATTTTGTAAGAACATACCCTAGCAACTAAATGACTACAAATCACATTTTAACAAGTTGTATTTCCCTACCTCGGGAAATCTGTTTCTATAAATGCGACTATAACACGTTCTTCGTAACAGCGCATGAAGTCTGGTTCCACTCACTTTAAAAACCTTGATAGGTGATCAATCTTTTGGCTGGGCACTTTTTAAAATGGTATAAAGTTCGCAGCTCTAAAGAGTCTTTCAAGGACATTTTTCTCTTCAGGGGGATCAACGACGTGACACGGGATTGGCATATTGCATGTAAGAAGCACCTCACAAGAAGCCCTTGCATAATTCTTAATTCTGTCAGAGTTTCTTAAATATTTGTCACGGTTTTCCTCGGTTGTCAAGTCCCATATCTTCAATTCGCAATGCTTCGGCAAAGCGTCAAGGTCAATTTCGGCGATTCGTAATCCGGTCAAACCTCCCTCCTGTCCTTTTGCCTTATAACGCTGAGCAGCAGCGTAAGACGCTGTCGTCGATATGTACTGCGATTTATACCCTTTCCGACCTCCATAGTTAACGTGTGATAAAACTTCTTTACAGGCTTGGGGATCTTTTGCCACAAGTCCGACTTTGGGATCTTCGTCAGGCCGCAATATTCGCCAAAGTGATTTCCAAAATCTGTAAACGTGTCTCAAGAGATACAGACATAAGGCCACGACAAAAATAAATATGAAAAGACAGATTTCCGCCAGTGTATGTAGCCCCATGTAAGGTAATCCGGATTCCGGAATCCAGGAAATTTCTGCTTGATGCATGAGTTTGGTCGAATGTTGTGAAGATTCACTTTCGTGAGTCAGCTTTCTTTTTTCAAGGTGGGGAGGTCTGGAACCGAGAAACGATGTTCTCCCAACTTGCAAAGCGACCATCACGCATACTGATCAGTGAACGAGTTTGTGACTGGGAGTATAAGGTTTTCTTCTTTAGTCGAGGTGCGTGATGTAAGTATTAGTTGAAATGATATTCATTTTCGCCTGATTGGCAAAAATTTTAGTTTGGGGAAATAATAAAAATTTCAAGGGGGAACGACTGGAAACGAATCCGAGTTGAGATTATCGCCGAGATGGATATACCCGATTGAAGTCAATGAAGTCTTCAGATAAATTAATGTAAATGCAAATTCTTAGAAAAGGACATTTTAGAAGAACGATTAAAATTTTGAAACACAGAAAAAACGATACAAATTCAAAACCAGTCACTACGTAAAGATATGCTTTACCTTACCTTGAAGGTAAACAATGGATGAATTTTTCTAGGGTGACTTTTATATCATAAAGTCGGTGAAGTATGAAATTTAGTATTATTTCAGCGAGCCAAACCATTCTTTCGCTTTTACAAATGCCTTTATAAATAGTAAAGACATTAAGATAGTTTGTGAATTATGTGAAATGTTTCTTCTGTACTGTATTTTTACGATGTTCTCAGACAGTGTGTTTATTAAAATAGTCTGATGCATCAAACAAATTTTTACTTTGAACACCAAGACATCATTATTCTGGCTTATAAGAAGACAATCAAAATTGCTCAGGCAACTTTCAATATCTGGATATCCATCGTGTTTATGATTTTTTTCGTCAACTATGTAGATTCACTTCCGCGTGTCACCTACCTGTTCTTTTTTTTGGGGGCGGTCTGGAACCGAGAAACGATGTTCTCCTAACTTTTAAAGGGATCATCACGCATACAAGTCAGTGCATGGTATTTTCAAGCAGGAGGCCATGTTTTGGACGGATTTGCACCACCTCAATTCTCAACCAATCAGATACAAAACAAAAACGATATGGTCAATTGGTCACTCAAGTTTTCCTGTGTTTGCGCTTGAGACGGAAATGTATGACGACGCTGCCATCGGCTCAAAGACAACCTCTCTAAGTAAAAAGAGTTCTGTTTGGGGTTCACGCAGATAATCTTCATCCTAATCTTCATCCGTGCTAATCTTAGCACGGATGAAATGGATGATATTGCGTGACTTAATACGCCAATTTTACGTGTGCTGAAATCACCCAATCAGCTGACCTTTCTGGCAATTCGAAGCAGTGAACGAAATCGCCGGAATGCGGGGCACATCAATAAAATGGCTGCTTATAAATCGTCGATATCTGATATGGCGGACGTTGAATATCTTAAAGGTTGATTAACGCAATCGAATCAGCAAAGATTTTAATATTCGTCGTGTTTGTTCTTTTTAACACCATCTACTCACTTATATCAGAGAAGCTATGACTGCGATCAGAAGCTTATGAACTAGGTAATAAGCTTTTGCAGGGATTCAAGAAGAAATTGAATGCAGATACGCGACTTTTTCGGCGACGACACTGATAAAGCAATTATTTTTTTCATGGCTTATTCAAAAATGAGAAGTTTTAAATCATACATTACTTCGTGCGGCTCTGTTCACTTTTATAGGAGGAAATTCGTTCGTAAAATAAAGTAATTCTTTCTTGATCCTTAACAGTGAGAGAGAATAAGTGGCAACTTATTTCCATGTCTGGTTGATTTGAATTGCGCATGCTCGCATTATGCCTTGAACTCAGTAAAACTTTGAAAAAAAATGAAGAGAGTTCGACCGAAACATAATAAAACTCCTACAACTTTTACAAGTGCCACTTTGTTTGACGCCGACACGCAAACCTATCAAAATTGTAAAACGATTTCCGAGTTTTTTGGAAACCGAGCGAATTAATTTTTTAATGGATTGTTCAAGAATGAGAAGTTTTAAATCATACATTGCTTCGTGAGGTTCTATTCACTTTTATAGGAGGAAATTCGTTCGTAAAATAAAATAATTCTTTCTTGATCCTTAACAATGAGAAGGAATAAGTGGCAACTAATTCCCATGTCTGGTTAATTTAAATTGCGCATATCTGCATTATGCCTCGAACTCTGTAAAACTTTGAAAGAAAATTGATAGCTAAAATTCGACTGAAACACAATAGAACTCCTACAACTTTTACAAGTGCCACTCTGTTTGACGCCAACCCGCACACCTATCAAAATTGTATAACGATTTCCGAGGCCTGTCGTCAAATCACTGAGTTTACAAATCGACAGTGGTGTAGCGTTGTCTATAATCTTATCTACAACGATATTTTTCATTAAACTAGTCAAAATGCTGTGGACTCACGAGGCGCAGCACGACACGTTGACACGAGCAACGTTGTCTGTAACTCTTATCGCCAACGGCAAGTCAGCCAATCATATTGCGAGATTATGGCCAATTGAGGTAAAACAAGACATCGACAATGACCACACTACTTAACGTAAGCTAGGGGGAACTGGTGCTCACGAATCAAAGCGTAAAGAAAAAGACTGGGAAAAAATGGAGCAAATGTAGAGAGGGAGGGGTGGCAATAAAAGAGAGTTTGGGAGCTGTTTTCTTGACAAGCGCCGCAGATCAGCAGACCGGAGAGCAAACTTTAAAGAACAAAGCACAACAGTTTTTAACTCCTCAATTGGGAGAATAACATGTTTTAATCCGTGGAAAACTGTTTGAAATTACAACCACAAAATCATGCAACCTTTGATTTAGTTTACGCTAACTCCTTTAACTTAGTTAGGTTGCTTTCACAAATCGTTTGACAGGAAAATTCATCCACGGAACCTTGAATGTGTATCCTCGTCACGAGTCAGCCCGTTTCAAGCTCATGACAGGTTTATCACGGGGAAGATCCATTTCTTGGGGGTTACGGTAGTTTAAACCCTGGTTCACGCGTCCACGATCCCCTGCGTAGTTAACTTCTGTGAAAACATGCCAATCTCCTGCAGACTTTCCAACTTTAAGAGACCTTGCTCCAGTAGAGAGGCCAATTGCTGTCAAGTCCGGTGTGTCCTCTTTCACTGCCTATGTTAAGAAAACAAATTGAATACATAAGTTTGGACTTAAACCTTCTTGATTAGCTGTTTTTTTTTTTGGGGGGGGCGGGGGGGCGGTGGGAATCCGACACACAATTTGTGAATGATTGAACAAGAAAGGTCTTTGCATGTGACTGTTGGAAAAACACCTGATTAACTGAAATCTATGCTTCAACTGAATTTTGATGTCCACTCCAAAAATACACGCTATGGCAAATCAAATCTATGCTGCCCAATATACACCAATTCTTCATATACACCAATTCTTCTGAAGCAGAGCGATCATTCTCGTTTATATCAATTAAAGACTGGAATAACCTATATAAAAATCGCTAAGGACCCAAAAAGTTTTAAAAAGCGATTGATAACACTCTTTTAGAGAGACAGAAAGAAATTAACATCTTCGACACGTCATCTTAGCTTCTTTATGAATTAAAGCAATTTACTGATTTACTTTTTAAAATGGCTCTAAATAGTGCTGTATGCATATATATAGAGATATAGAACCTAAAGTTATTTTTTTACTTCATTTTGCAGAATGTAACATTTCTAGTGTAGATCATCGTTCATTTTTAACTTTTAACTTTTATCTTACAGAGAGCCACAGGGTCATCAGTTTCACTGTACTACTGTCGAAGGCTTCCCTTTTAAAATTAAGTCTATTGATTGATTGATTGATTGATTAAAACACGACTTTTGATCTTTCTCAGGAGCTGATTCAATTTAAGAAAAAACTGTAAAATCAGCTACATAAGGTTCACCATCATTTTGCATTGCAACACAAGTTGTTTCAATCAAATATTTCCAGGTAAAGCTAAGAATTCTTCTACATGGCCTTCATCGAAAGGATATTATTTCACATATGTATTTACCTTAGGCGGTGGGGGCTGATAGTTTTCATCTGCATGCAATAATACTACTGATGCGTTGTCTGCCATGGATGTTCCGCAATTCTGAAAAACATAATGTCAGAGACAGTTTAAAGAAAATACTGTCAGCATGATAGATGCGACAGAGATTCCTCTTGCTGGTAAATCTATGTATTCATTATTTTAGTTTCATCTCTCTGATCAGCTTTTGCATTTTCAAAAAACGAAAGGTATACTTGCACGAGCACTTGTAGATCAGAAACTTACCTTTTTTTCTCAACTTGATTTTTGCAGGGGAAAGCAACTTCGCTTCTGTCGAGGCTTCGACTGATGAGTGATGTTCCGTTGTTCACGGAGTCATTTTATGATGTTCTTAATTCAATCATGCGTGCAACTTGACATTGGGATGCCGATATTCAACAAGTGCCATGATTCCTGAACTTATTGTTTGAGCAGTTCGAAAGAGTAATGACGCGTTTGATAAAAAGCCTACCACTTCCTTTGCTATATAATAATAATTGTCATAAAAGTGTTAGACGCCTAGGATTTTGGCACGAAGACTTCTAAAAGACAAATCAACTGTAAAGTCCTTGGTGGAATTGCTTTGTCCATGTCGGCACATAGACAGAGTATTAACAAAATGTCGGCCGTAAGATATGCCACGTAGTTTTATTAAATTCACTCTGACTTACATAATTGTTTTAAACATTGAAAAACAATGCCAATTTTACCCGGTGGACACAAATTACATGTAAGATTGCCGTCAGGTTGCCGTTATTTCGCGGTTAAAATAAAATGTTATGGGTTGTTCCTGTTTGTTCAATTAATTTTGACTGACAGCAAACACCACGTCATCGTGGGTTGTGGGCAAACTAAAGAGGAAACTGCTTCGAAGCACAATGCCTAGCAAGGAGACCACAGGAGTCATGCCTAAAATAGTCTTGGATTGGATTCAGTTGATAATTGAAAATGACAGTACTGTGGAAGTATTCAAGGTCATGCTTCAGTGCTTCTTATTCACATCCAGTCATAAAGGTGTGCCTCAAAGCAAGAAATCGACCAAAAAAAAAGTTTCGCTCCAGCAGCATTTTTAAAAAAAAAAGTATATATTTTCAGAGATTTTTTGTAAATCTGGACAGTCACAGAGGTTATGCTTATGTACGAGGTGAGAACAAATTTCCATAGAAGAGCAAAAAAGGTTCGCTGAGACAAATTTAATTGAATGGAGGTATAGAAGGTATGCTAAGAAGTTGGATTCAAACATGGTGCCTCGTGTTGCTGCTTATTAATCCCACTGAATCTTGAAAACCATATGGAGGTCACGTTGGATGAGTTTTGAAGCAATAAAGCAAAGAAAAGACAGAAACTTGTATCCAAAGATGGTTTCTTTGAAACGAAGCTTTGCTGTTCGTTTGACCTCTTGTTAATATTCGATAAGCAACTAAATTGAACTTGAGTCAAATGTTGCAGTTTTATTCTTTGTTCACTGAACACAGGCATTCAGCTGCAGGGATATTTTGCGACGAAAATGAGGTGCATGTTAATGCAAATTTTGTTGTTTTAATAAGATTAAGTTAAAAACGTGAAATACCCCCCCAAGAACATGACACGATCGTGTAGGTTTGCTGGTTACTGATCTACTGAAAATCCTTAAGAAAGTCAAATAGATGAAGCACTTTCAACCATTAGTAAAGTAAAAGAAACGCTATAAATAGTGGGCCGGTGCGTGCGTAATACGGTCATAATGGTGGAAATCGTATAACCGCATTTCTGAGATTGACGAGACTTTCGCAGATATATCAGTTATAAGGGCAAAGGTCTTCAATCCACGATTCAAGTTGTTATTTTTAGCTAATACGTACTGTAACAGACATGTGTATGAGTAAAACCTCCGAGTATACATGATATTTATTTATCACACGAGGAGATACTTTACATGGTAGCCATCGATTAATATTTTGACTTTAAACATCATACAAATAAGTCTCGATAACAAATGGCTGCGAGACAGTGGAGAAAAAAGAATTATGTTCATTTCTTAGTGATTGATTTCTCGGTGTCCTCAAGGATACTCATGACTCAAATTGGAGTAACGAACATCCGAAATAAAATGCACGATCACGGCGAACCAAAACAATCATTTGAACCTCAGAGAAAAAAGCGCATTTTAATTCTAAACAAGCTTACTGTACTTACACTCTACAAAGGTAAAGTAAGCTTAAATGGAAAAAAAAAACACGAGTAAACAGGAAAAGAAATGTTTAAGCTTCTCCAACTTGATAGTACAAGTTTGAATTCATCCTTCCTTGACTATGTGATTACATAGAAAGACAGACGGATAGTAAACCTATGAAGATAAAGTCACTATAAATTTCTCTCTCTCTCTATCTTTCATTACCAAATTTCCTTCAAAACGGCTAACAGAAACTATAATTTCGCAAGGGCTGGTATGGCTCTCTTTTTCTTAAGTGAGAGAAGAAAGGAAACAATGAGATTTGATTGAGCGCTTGTTAAAAAAGGGACAAATACCTATCAATAACGTAACTTAAAGGTAAACTGGAATTGCTAAGAATTTATTTCTATCTTCCGTTCGACATCTGAGACATTCACACCAAATTTCCTTCAAAACTTTAGTGGATGATAGAATTATTTTGCAACAATTAATATGAGAACATATCGCTGAAGCATGTTTACTCTCACATAGTTCGGCTAATTTTCTGATTAATGTAAAAAATCGACTAAAACATGCCTTTTTCCAGGAATATTCTAGCCACATGCGCCACACAAAGCAAGCGATAATATTTTCCATCAATAACGTAATTTGAAAAATGTCCCAAACTAATTACTGGAAAATTCTGTCATTCTTTTTTGTGTGTGTTTCATTCACAGCCGTGAACTGGATGCTAATACAAAAAAAGCATTCGCGATACAAACTATAAAACCAATATTTGGCCGTAGCTTTCCGAAAATCACTTTGGTAATTAGCTACGATACATGTAAACAGATTAAGAGAGATGGTAAGTTTTGAGCGCGATAAGGGAATAGAGAAAGACGCTTTTCTTTTTATCACGAGCGTGGGACACAGAAAAAATCCGGATTCTCCTTGAGGAATCGAACCTCAGACCTTCGGATTTACGCGTTCCGATGCTCTTTCACTTGGCCACTATCGACATTGCTGATCCCAGGCAGTATGCAGGACGCGTGTCATATGAACTCCATAATAGACCTCGCTCACCGTGGAGTCTCTGTGGCTCAGTGTAATGGAATTTTTTTTCTTTGTCCCACGCTCGTGACGAGACGAAAAACATCTTTCTCTGGCCAAGATACTGTTATTTAGTGGAGCTGTATAAACTACGCCTACGTGTTTTGGCATAAATTAACCGTACATCAAAACCACTTTCTCACAATGGGCCGCTCAACAAAAACTTAAGAGGTTTATTTTCACTACTTTTGCAAACATAGTGTATCACAAACATTGAGTGGATGCCAATACGGAAAAGCATTCGCGACGAAAACTATGATAGAAAACCAATATTCGGCCTTAGCTTTCCAAAAGTCGCTTTGGTAATTAGCTAAGATACTGTTACTCAGTGAAGCTGAATAACCTACGCGTACGTGTTTAGGCATAAATTAACCGTACATCGAAAACATTTTCTCCCACTAGGCCACTTAACGAAAACTTAAGAGGTTTATTTTTATTACTTTTGCAAACGTAGTGTATCACAAACATTGAGTGGTCTCTAACCTTGGGATAATGAGCTCCTGGATAAACAGGAATTTTCTTGCGCAACTGTTGAACACACCCCTTTAGACAAATGAGTCGCTATCTTGTCACTTGTGGGAAAAATCAAAATTTTGGTTGCGTTCTGTTTTTCAGAGTTGGACAACATGACTGAATCGACAGTAACCTTGTAGGAGGGGGGAACATATTTTCGGATTTTTTTTTTTCAAATGATGCGTTACTGTTCGTGTGACTTCTTACTAATATCCGATAAGGAACAACTTCGAACTTGAGTAAAAGGTTTCCATTTTACCCTTTGTTCACTGAAGAAAAGTGTTTAGCTGCGGGGAAATTTAGTGGCGATAATGACGTGCGTGTTTATGACAATTCAACTGAGCCCTATAAACTACGCATAAGTGTTTAGGCATAGGTAGACGGAACTTTAAAAAGATCTCCGCAAAGTGGGCCGCAAATAAAACCTTAAGACATCTGACTGCTTCTGCATACGTAGTATCTCACAGAGCAAAGAGTGGCCGCTAACGTTGAGGCAGTAACGTTCTCGATAAAAGGAATTTTCTTGGGCGAAAGTTGAACACACCGCTGTAGACAATCGAGTCATTATCTTGTCGCTTCTGGGAAATAGGGAAATGTCAATAGCCTAGCTAGGTGGAGTCAATATCTTCTTAGTACTTTTGACAGATGTCAGTCATGACATAACTATCGCGATTTTCGATTCAAACTGATAGCGAAGGCAAAATAAATAGATTGCTGCAAGAGAAAGCTGAAAGAGATTTTCCGGCTTCGCTTGTGTAACATGGAAGCCACGGTCTTTCCAGTCTCGTGGAGTAGTTGTTCCTTCACGAGAGTTTTTGAAACAATGTTGCAATGTATACAAAATGTTGTTCCTGTTTGTCTAATTTCCTCCACTCGCCAATCAAGCGCGCAACCTCACATTGCAATACCGTTTTTCAACTAGTGGCATGATTCCAGAACCCATTGTTGGTGCAATTAATTAGAAGGGTAATGACGCGTTTAATCAAAAGCGAACCACTTCCTTCTCTGTACAATAACCATTATGATAAAAGCGGGAAGCTAAGCCAAGGATGTTAGCACGTAGCGGATCACTTAAAAAATTGGTCAACTATAAAGTCCTTTGTGGAATTGTTCTGTCCATGTCGCCACTAAGAGTATAATTTGTTAAATTTATTCTTTTATTCAATGTTTCAAACATTGATAAACAATACCGATTTTACCTCACGGACACATATTACAAGCAATTTTAATTTCTGGCGTTGCTTGTCCATGGACATTTTTTTTGAGTCACGTGAAGTTGTCGTAATTTGGCAGTCATAGAAAATTGTTGAAATGAATGCTAAGGGTTGTTCTTTTTTTTCAGTTTGGTCGATAGTAGAAACCACGTCATCGTGGGTTTTTAACGAATGAGCAAACTTAAAAGGAAATTACTTTAGCGCACAAAACTTCGCAGGGAGAGCACAGGAATCACGTCTAAAATAGCCTTGGATTGTCCTTGAGAAAATTCAGGACTCAAATTGGAGTAACGAACATTAGAGATAAATGCACAATTACAGCGAACTAAAACAATCATTTGAACCTCAGAGGATAAAGCACATTTAATTCTAAAACAAGCTCATTGCATTTACCCTCTA